AGATATTGCAATAGCAGGAATAATAACCTTTGTTCTAAAAATAACAACAACGAAAAATACTATAAGTATTGCCCTCATACAAGCAACTCATGGCATAAAGATCAAAGAAACAAAGTTTATCCAATAGACAAAGCTTCTACAATCTTTTTCAGAAAATGAAAAACTGCAATTTTTGCGTTTTGCAAAATTCAAAATGGTAGCAAAAGAAATTGATTAAGCCAGATTGATTGAGTAAGCCAGATTTATTTATTTAAAATTTTATCAAGTATTACCATCAGCCTTTAAGCAAGATTGATTAAGCCAGATTGATTGAGTAAGCCAGATTGATATTTAAAATTTTATCAAGTATTAACATCAGCCTGTAAGCAAGATTGATTTATTTAAAAATGTATCAAGTATTAACACCAGCCTGTAAGCAAGATTGATTAAGCCAGATTAATTTATTAAAGATTTTATCAAGTATTAACATCAGCCTGTAAGCAAGATTGATTTATTTAAAAATGTATCAAGTATTAACATCAGCCTGTAAGCAAGATTGATTTACTTAAAAAGATAATGGTCACATTAGCTTTTAATTAAAATACAAGTTCAGTAAAGAAATAAAAAATGTCTAATTAGGAAAGTTTTTTATTGAAAACTAAATACACAACAAAATATTAATTTAAACAATTTAGAAAAATCTAAATTCCCTTGAGATCATTTAACTTGGCATTTTAAGGACCATTCAACTTGGCTTTTTTAATGCTATCATTGGTTTAAAATACAGGCGTTTACAAATCCAATAGTTTTTCTGCTTATTATAATAACAATTTTCTATTGTCAATTTTCTTTTTTTCTAATTGTCTCTGTTAAAATGAATGCAAAGTAATAACTTTGCAATTTGTCATTCATATCATTAACAAATTTCTCATGGCGGTAAAATCCAGCCTTGGAAAATAAGGAAAATTACAATATGTATTTTTCTTAATTTTCCAAGGGTGTTCAAAGATAAGTCATAATAATCTACATCTAAAATCATCATTTGGCGTTGCACTTGCGTATAGTTGTTTTGCATTTTATTATATTTATACAACCTTGTCATCCATGTGGACTTGTTAGCAAATTCCCATACACGCGAACTTGCCAGCAAATAACCATCTATCTAGTGAGTTAAGGAAAGCCGACCATCATACAACTGTTTTGGGTTTGAAATATCTGTTTAAAACAAATCGCTTGTATTACAGAATAATTATTATAGCATTGAAATATTACACAGTGGTTAAAATTAAGTACCGGCGAATACTGTTTTCAATAAACGAATAGCAAATAGCGAATTGTAACTGTGTAAATTTTTTGTACCAAAGTTTAACGAATATTCGTCTTAGGCCTAAACTTGTATTTAACGGAATACTGAATGTTACTATTTAACCGAATACTGAATGTTACTATTTGTTTACGAAGTTATACGATTAGTAACAATTTTCAATTAAAATATAAAAGAGTATATATTCTTATATTATTTTATTTATATATTTTATTAGAAAATAAAAGAATATATTAACATATTCTTTTATATTCTAATAAAAAAATATAAACGAATAGAAACGAATGTATACTTGCAAATTTTTGAAATTGCAGAAACATTTAACAACTTTTTTATAAATATAGGAAAAAAACTAGCCGATGCAATTCCGGAGGGAAAAAAATCATTTAAATCCTTTTTGAAAAAATCTGATTTCTTCATGGATGAGTCAGAGCTTTTGATTGAAGAACTTCGGCAAGCGATTAGTATGCTTAAATCAAATAAAAGTGCGGGTCTGGATGAAATTAAACCTGATGTTGTAAAAGCTGTCTCTGATATCATAGAGAAACCCCTTTTCATAATTTTTAATCTATCCCTAAAAAACGGCATTTTTCCCGACCAACTTAAATTAGCAAAAATAATTCCAATATACAAAAGCGGCGACGACTCAATAATATCTAACTATAGACCGATTTCCATACTTTCCTGTTTTTCCAAAATATTAGAGCGTATTATGTTCAACAGCTGTACAATTATCTTGAAAAAAATAATATTCTTTATCATAAACAGTTTGGTTTTCGAAAAAACCATTCTACGGAACATGCCGTAATTGATCTTGCGAACCAAATTTTACAAGGTTTTGAAAACAATTGTTACACACTTGGAATTTTTCTAGATCTATCAAAGGCATTTGATACTGTAAACCACAAGATTCTTATCTACAAACTACGTAGTTACGGAGTAGTTCACTCTAATTTAAAGTGGCTTCAATGTTATTTAGAAAACCGTAAACAAGGTGTACCATATGATCTAACATGCTCCCCATTTGAATCAATAAGTTGCGGAGTTCCACAAGGATCAATACTTGGACCTTTATTGTTTTTAGTTTATATCAATGATATTTTTTTGTCTTCAAAAATACTTAATTATACTATTTTTGCTGATGACACTAATGTTTTCTTTTCTGACTCAAATTTAAAAAATATTTTTTATTATGTAAACGCTGAACTAATATATCTTAATGAGTGGTTCATAGCAAATAAACTATCATTAAATATTGAAAAAACTAAATATATTTTGTTTGCTAAACCATCTCAATCCGAGAACCTTCCACTTAAACTTCCAGAACTAACAATTAACAATATTAAAATAAAAAGAGTTTTTTCAATGAAAATACTAGGAATAAATTTCGATGAACATTTAAATTGGAAAAGCCAAATAAAGTTAGTCGAGAACAAAGTTTCAAAGACTGTGGGGATTATGTACAGGACAAAACATCTTTTGAATAAAATATGTTTAAAAAACTTATACTTTTCATTTATACATAGTCATATTAACTATTGTAATATTGCCTGGGCAAACAATCATTCATCTTTCCTAAAAAATATTTATACTAAACAAAAGCAAGCAAGTCGATTAGTTTTGGGCGCAGATAGGTACGAAAGTGCCAAGCCGTTACTCAAGGAAATTAATGCGCTAAACGTATACGAACTAAATATATACCATAACTTGTTATTTATGTTTAAACTTTAAAATGAACTAATTCCAAAATATTTTTATAAAGGTTTCTCTCTAATTAACCATAAATATGAAACAAGACACTCAATAAATAATTACTACATCCCATCAACATCACTCAAAAAATCTGACTTCTCAATTACATGTCGGGGGCCACGCTTGTGGAAGTCAGTTCTTGACGAAAATATGAAAAAAATAAAATCTATTGATATATTCAAAAGAACTATAAAAAAACACTTACTAAACTCAAACATTACATACATTCTTTCATTTTTTTAAAAATAATATTTTTTTGATAAATTTGATAAAAAGCTTTTTTTTTTTTTTTTTTATTATTTTTTTTTAATATATATATATACATATATATCTTTCTTGTTTGATTTTCTCTTTGACTGTTTTTTTTTTAACTTTTTTTAATAAATACTAACAAATGAATTTAAATCTACATAACGTTTGGAATCTTTTTAATATATAAATATTTTTGAATATATACTTCGCTTTGTATTGAATATGTATACGTATATGTTCTGATTTGTAAAAAAAAATTCAAACTTTTTAATTTACGCATTGTATACATTTTTATTTTTTTATTTCGAGATTTTATTATTATTATTATTATTATTATTTTTTTCTTTCTAATTTTTACTTTTTTTAATTTTTAATTTATTTTAAACTTTTTAATTTTTTTCAATCTTTTTACTTTATTTCAAACTCTTTAAATTTTTTTATTTTTATTTTAATTTTGTTTGAATGTTTGTTTATTTTTTCAAAATTTTTAATTTAACTCTTTTTTATATTATTGGAATTTTAGAAATTTTATATTTCTCCATTTCACAAAAGGGCTTGATGATAAGACTTTATGTCTTCTACTTGCCCCTGTCAGCTTGTAATTATATATATATTTATTCGAATTTAAAGATAACATTGTAAAATGTGTAAAACGACAAAAAAAAAAAAAATAAAAAAATAAACTATACTTATGTTTAATTTATACCCATAATTGGTCATAACTCATAATATTTTTTTCATATTCATAGAATATTTTATCATATTCATAGAATTTTGTATCATATTTATAGAATTTTTTATCATATTCATTTTTTATCATATTCATTTTGTATCATATTTATAAAAATTTTTAATTTTTTTCAATTGTGTATTTGTTTCGGTATGAATCTCATTCCAAAAACATGACACTTCTTGCATAAGGTTTTCAAAATTATTAAGTATTACTAAATACTAACATTAGCATGTTTTTTAAGGGGTAAAAAATAAATTAAATACAGATAATAAATTTTTTACAGCAATTATTTGTTTCAAAAATAATAATTACTATTACTTCAAAAGTTACCCTTTTGAAAGTTATTTTTTAAATGTTTTCGTAATTCTTTGACCTTTCTTTATTTTTCTAGATAGTACTTAGTGATTTGGTCACTGAGAGCCGTTCCAAACTAGCTGATGTATATATTATTTGTTTTTGTTTTTTATGACAAAGTTTAATTGTTGCGTAGTTGTGAAGATTGTAGACTCCTGGGATGATCATGTGAACTGTAGAAATTCTGTCAGCAGAGATTTTTACTGAAAAGTCATGAAATATTTGAAGAACTGGTAAAATTTCTTTTAAGATCGTGAAATGTGTGTTATTTAAAATTTTGTCTTCCATTGTGTGGACATCTCCTATTAAGACTTTTAGTACTTCTTTGATGCCTAGCACTGATTTCACACACTTAAACTGACTGTTCCATCTAGTCTTGTAGGATCAGATAATTTTTTTTTAGTTAATTTACAGGTCAGAAGGGGCGGATCTATGGTACGGCATATTAGGCGGCCGGCGTATTAGGGTACGGCATATTAGGCGGCCGCCTAAAGAGAAATATTATATTATTTTTAAGATGTAAGTTAAGATAAAATAATTTACTTCACATTTTAAAGCTCCGTTGGGCATTTTTTATTATTCATGGTTTTGACGTAACTTAACTATGATTAGCCCAGGAGTGTAACAAACTATGATTAAGGAAATGGCTTTTCATGTATTAGGCGAAATAAGTTTTACTTAATCTAAACTCGGTACGAGATGTGTATTTTTAATCACCTTAACTAACGAAACTAAAATTATGCCTAAAGTAGTATGGAACTAAGTGGTCAATCCGATCCAATGTGAAGTTTAACTGTTCAGTTTAATTGAATGAAGATATGTAAAGAAGCTGTTAAGATGGCCAACAAAAGTATTGAAATGGAATAAAAGTATTGGAATAATAGATGGAATAAAAGTTTTATTAAAGTCGTTTGTTTACAGCAAAACATTGTTGGTACCTTTTAAATATATTGTATCTTGTACCTCCTGCAGTAGGTTTATAAATTCAAATCTTTTATTTGTTTTAATTTTTCGAAAATCATTAATTTATGGCATAATATTGTTTGTAATGTTTAAAATTTGTGCAACGATTGTATTAAATTTAAGATCTGAGTTTTTCAATCAGAATTTTTACCTAGCTTAATCTGCTCTGTATATTCTTCTTACTGCTTACCGCAATTTTTACTGCAACATTAATTTACAATTCGTTGTGTGAAAATAATTTGTTTACTATAACAAATAATAAAATAATCAGAAAAAGAAGCATTAAACTTTATCATAATAAAAATTGTTCTAACATTCTAACGTTCTAACTTTCTAATGTTCTAATAAACTTAAAGAAACTCGTAAACTTAAAGAAACTTAAACTCGAAAAACACAATACTTAAACTCGAAACTTAAAGAAACTTAAAGAAACTCGTTAGTTTTTATATCAAATCTTATTTTCCGTGTTTTAAAGAGGGTTTTACTAGATTTTTGTTTTTCAATTTTTGAATTTGTTTATTATAAAACTATAATCTAGTGTGCAACCAACCGTAAAAAATAGTTTTTTGTTCACCAAAAATATCATTCAGTATGAAAATATTTAATCTTCTTTCTTCGCAATAAAAAATAAAATACCTACTTAAACAAATTATTTCTTAATAATAAAAACAAAAACGTTTCTTAACAAGTACAATGAACAGCTGCAAAGCTTCTATACCTCATGTGTACTCTTATTATAAAGTAGAGCTTAAAACAATATACGGAATAAACCGTCATATTTTAAAATGCTAAAAGAATCCTTTGTAAAAACTCAGTCTACAAAAAACTAATACCTCTTTAACACTCGAACCAAATACTAAAGTAAAAACCTCAGTTACAGAACAAAACGACATTATAATACCAACCACTTCGTCTAACAACTTAGCGTTTAATCAAAAAAAGGATTACGCATCAACACCTACGTATTCCAGAAAAACGATACCCATAAGCATAATGTCTTCTATAGAAATGACACCCATAAGTACATCACATATAGCTGGAACTTCTTTCTTAAACAACAAATCATTCCTTTAATGAGAGGATTAAAAATGTTCCTAAAATAATGAACCATTTACTAGTTCCGAATGCCAATGTCATTTGGGGAGTATAGTCATATCAACAATTTAAATTATTTGTTGATTCTACCTATGATGAGATCGTAAATTACCGAAGAGAAATATTTTCAACATTCCATCTGGAATGTAAAGATTTTATAGATTTTAACCTTTTGGTTGCATTATGTTTAACACGTAGTATTGACCTTTGGAAAAAAGAAGAAACTGGTTTATTCTTAAAAGAGTTTCGAAATATACAAAAAAAAAAAAGTAAACTCCAAAAATAAAAGATCTATAGACGATATATCTAGAACATTTGCCTAATTAGTTATGGAAGGCAAAATCACTGCAGCGCTGAAACCTTTAGAAAAAGAAGCATCATCCGGTATATACCACTATCGGACAACACATTAAAAGACCTTAAAGCAAACACCCTGAACCCTTGCGAGTAGAAGATTATAGATTACTGTTTGGCGCGATTGATTTAATCCCAAAATGTTTCTTTGATTGTATTGATGAGCAACTAGTTATGAAAGCAGCATTTGCAACTAAAGAATCTGCTGGACCATCAGGAATGGATACCGATGTTTATCGCCGCATCTATGTTCTAAAAAATTCCTCAAAGAAGGTAAAGAACCACGAAAAGAAAAACTTACTAACAGAAACATATGAACCAACATTCCTAGATGCTTTCACTGCTTGTCGAATAATTCCTCTAGATAAAAATCCAGGTATTAGGCCAATTGGAGTCGGAGATGTACTAAGGCGTATCATAGGTAAATTAATTAGCTGGAGTTTTTACACTGAAATAAAAGAGGCAGCCGGGCCATTACAAACATGTGCTGTACATGGGCCAGGAGTCGAAGCTGCTGTACATGCCACGAAACAAATATTCAACAATGGGCAAACAGATGCAATACTTTTGATTGACGCAAAAAATACTTTTAACTGTATGAATCACAAATGATCTGGATGCTTTATACAACATCCAGATCATTTGTCCATTAATTTCAATTTACTTAATAAATGCTTATGGAAATCTATCGAGGTTCTTTGTGGCAAGGGGTAAAGAAATATCATCCCAAGAATGCAAAACTCAAGGTGATCCTCTTGCTATGTCATGGTATTCTTGTAACACCACGATTATTGTATAACACTTACTTGTAAATTACCCACAAGTCAAGCAGGTGTGGTTAGCAGACGATGCTGAAGCTAGTGAAAGTATTGCAAACTTACATAGCTGGTATCAACACCTTATTGATAAAGGATGTAAACATGGCTACTACGTAAACCAATTTAAATGCTGGTTAATTGTAAAATCCCTTTCATTAGCTGAAAATGCAGGCATAGCATTTGGTAAATCGGTCCACATAACTACAGAGGGTCAACGACATTTGGATTCAGTAATTGGTTCGCAAAATTTTAAGGACAAGTATTGCAATGAGAAACTAGCAAAATGGTTAAGCAAGTTAAAACAACTTTGTAAAGTAGCAGAGACGCAACCACAGGCCGCTTTTATTGCGTTCACAAAATGATTTTGTTCAAAATTTGCTTTATTTAACAATATCTAGCTCCCGTAGACAAAATACTTAGTTATTTTTTGTTGCCAACTCTTTTTGGAAAAGATACGCCCTTTGAGGATCACATTAGAAAACCTTTTACATTAACTTCTCTAGATGGAGGATTGGGTATATTTGTACTAATTGAAGAAACGCTTAACCAGTTTTTATCATCTGTGAATTTAACCAAAAATCTTGTACAGCAAATTATAGATCAAGACACAATTTTAAAAACAAAAAACTCTACGGGGAATGTTCTAGAAGATCTTGAAAAAATATCATCTACTGACTGATTTAAGCATCAAAACGAGAAAATATTCAACCAGAGTCTATGTTAAGAAACATAGAGCAAACAAGAAGCGAATGTGCAAGCACCTGGTTAAACGCAAAAAAAAAAAATGTTTAAACTTTACTTACGATATAATTTCGACTTAAAAAATATCCCACGTAATTGTGAATCCGGAGAACGTTTCAATGTAACTCATGCTTTATCGTATAAGAAAGGTGGCTTCATTTCAAGTTGTCATGATAACATAAGAAATTTGTTCACTACATTTCTTAAAAGAGTGTGCATAAATGTTCAATCCGAACCACACCTCATACCCTTTGATAATGAGAATTTTAATTTCCATACAGAAAATAAAAGTAACAAAGTTCGTTTGGATATTAAAGCAAATGATTTTTGGCGAAATGGACAGACAGGATTTTTTGACGTAAGAGTTACGCATGTTAATTCCATGAGCAACAAAAATCTAGATATAGCTGCTATATTCAGAAAACACGAAAAAGATAAAAAAAGAGAGTATGGCGAACGAGTTCGTGAAGTCGAATATGACAGTTTGACACCACTAGTGTTTGGTACAAATGGAGGCATGGGTAAAGAATGTCATAAGTTTGTTAGCCGAGAAACTGGCGGAAAAACAAAACAAAAAATATTCAATTGTTATTACGTGGTTAAGAACGAAATTATCTTTCGAGATAATTCTCTCAGCTATCCTTTGTTCAAGAGGTTCAAGAACACCGTGGACTAGAAAAAATGATTTTGAAATCGGTGTTTATTTTAAGATGGATGCTCTAGAAGCAAGAATCTGAGTTTTTATAAATTTATATTATAAATTTAAAAATCATTATAAACGGTTAATACTATTAATAATTATAGCTATTAATAATAGCTTAACAAGTTTATCCGATTTCGAGCTTTTGATATTTGTTTCTGAACAGAAATCTTGCATAGGATAAATGTAGGTTTTCTTTATACAGAAAGCATAAAAAAATTACTTCATAAAACAACATCTTGCAAAATTCAAGTTGCTTATATTATAAATAAAATGTCGGATTAACATACAATTCTATTGAAGTAAGAACCCATAAAATACCAACTAAAAAAAACTTTCATTCTAAACTATACTTTTATACTAAATGTTAAACTATAGTTAGCTATATAGCTATATAGTTTTATACTAAATGTTAAACTATAGCAGTTACAAGATTTGATCTAAAACAAATTCAAATAACACAAACAAAACATTTACAAACAAACTTTACAATTCTTTAGAATTTTGCAATAAATAAAGGTAACTCGCAGGTAACACATTACAAATAACAAAAAACACAACTCTTAGACGGTGTTTAAAACTACTAAATTTTGGCACCAACCATCAGCTGTATAATTTAAATAAAATAAGGCTAAATTTTTACTTACCACTACTAATTGTATAATTAGTAAGTAAAAACTTTTAATAACCTTTTGAAAATCAAATTTTCTAAATCTGTTATTTATCTAAAAATGTGGATTGCGCTCAGTACTATACATTACAGAGTTACATTGTCAGTGCTATAGCCCTGGGCCCCGCAGTTTTGGAGGCTTCTGTTCTTAATAAAATATGTTTTTAAAAGAAACTCTGAATAAATAGTTTATTTGATTTATCATGGAAAGAGACTTCCTGCTTTAAAACAGCCCTGGGCCCCAAAAAGTCTTGATCCACTACTACACATTGCCTTAATATATTATATTTTATATCGAATCCAGGAATAAAAATGTGCAGGGGAAAGCAGTTAGCTAATTGATGGTGCACTTGTCATATGCCTTCAATCGTTCTGGATAAAAAATCGTACACATGAATAGGAAGGAACCCTAACGTGGTTTATGCGCTTTAAAAAAATACCTTTCAGACAGATACTCTTTCAACCTTTATACTGTGGAAGTGGAGCATCAACATATATTCTGAATTGAGTTTATACTCAATAAATAGAAATTTGACTGTACTATTTGTGTTCCTATATTAAAAATGAAATAAGGTATAGCTTCAATTCAATTTATAGTTATGGATATTTTATATAGAAAAAATAACGGCCCAAATTTAGTAAGGGTTTTTAACATACATGATTTTAAAAAATTTGACAGCCATAAAACTCTAGCGTGCAAAGTAAACAAGGAGAGTGGTCATAAAAATAAGATAAAGTGAGAATTTTTTAAAAATATGAAAACGGGTAGGTAGGAAAAAATTCACAATTGATGAAGTGGTTGATGGTGTTTTTATGGCACCTCACAGAAGTTGTGCATGAAAGGGGGTGGGGTTGTGAAACTGGTTGAAGGGAGGGAGGGTTCGAAATTTAAACAAAAAAAATTTCGCCAAAGAAGAAATAAATCCTAGAATTGTCCCTGAGTCAGTACAAGTCTACTTAACTTTTGTGCATGACAAAGTACTTTGATGGAGGTGAGCTGCCAAGTTGCTACTTTTTTGACAGCTTATTTGATTAGGTCAACATTGTCAATGTTCTTTGTGGCAATTAAGTATATATTTTAGTCAAAGTGGTGCCATATCTTACTTTACTTACTTTAGGCATTTTAACAAAAAATGTTTAATGCTTAAATTCAGCAAATTTCGCAACCAGATATTTATTTTCCTAAGCAATGATCGTATTTAAAATAAAAATCTAATCAAATTACGCTAAAAATGATCATCAATAACAGTAGTAACAAAATGATTTATCATTAAATGATAATACTAATTACAATTATGAGCGATGATGATAAAAAATGACAAACAATGATAATAATAATTAGTTATGAAATGACTGTAAAGGATGGTATCCCTCAAGCAGTAATCTAGTTAATGCAGAGACAACTAATATTAAATGTTATAATAATAACACTAAAAGTAAATAATAATAATAATAACCAAGGTTGGGATCAAATACGTATTTGCATTTGAATTTGGATTTGGCAAAAATGGGTTAATTTGGCGTATATGTATACGTAATATATAAAATTTAAAATTCTTAAATATTTGTATTCGATCAGGATGTATTTGCAGTTCCATAAACTAGGTTTACCAATATTTATTTGGGAAATACTAAGGTTTTTTTTTCTTTCATTTTAACACTAAAATAAATTAAAAGTTTGTTTTTAAAGAATATTTTTTAGAAGATTTGTTTTCATTCTTCTATTTGCTAGATCATTTTATTAGTCATATCTTGAAATTTTTTTTATATATTTCCCAACCTAAATTGCAAATATTTGTATTTAGAAAATGCCAATTGCATATATTTGTATATGAATTTGTATTTGGAAATCAAGAACTAATGTAATGAAGAAATTGAAGAAATCAAGAACTAATGTAAAGAAATTGAAGAAATCAAGAACTAATGTAATGAAGAAATTGAAGAAATCAAGAACGTATTTTTAAGCGTACTTGTATTTGATCAAACGTATTTGACCCCAACCCTAGTTACCTGGCAACCCTGATAATAATAACAACAATAATCATAACTGGCTATGTAAAAATGTGTATTGAAATGTTAATTATACTATCTATAACAAAATAAAAAAGGTGATCATAAAAAGTAAATAATAAAAACAACAGTGTAAAGAAAAAATAATAGTTACAATAATAACCAATGACAAATAGTAAAAATAAAAAAACTATCATGGGCAAAATATTTAGTTTACAGTAAAATAATGCATAAACAATAAATAACACTTCATTAAATAATTTATATAGTTATAAACTATTCGTTGTTTTCTCCGTAATATTCGATTTATAACTTTAGCGCTAAATGAGCGTCGTCGGTGCTTAGTTCAAATTTATTACTGTATAGAATTTTTTTTCTCATTGAAATAATTGTTTATCTTTTATTTTCCAAAACTGAATAAAATCAATTATAATAAAAAAGTCAAACTGGACACATTCACTTACAGAAAAAATTAAACGCTTTAAAGGACTTATAAACCTTTATGATCTCGCTTGTGTATTTATAAGATGTGTATCTCCCTCATCATAATAAAAGATAATGATCAGTAGTAAGATATTTACACATAAAAATCATATTTCCACGAGGTCGCAAACAATGCACATAGCTAACTTAGAGTGATGGCTTCCTAACAGTTGTATCTAAAGCCTTAAAATAACTTGATTCTCGGTACTCTCCCATATTTTAGATTTGATTATCAAAAACAATTGTATTTGTTAACTAAACTGTTAAAAAAAATTATCTTTGACTGCGGAGAGTTTGCACACGGGTGTTTGTTTTGCTAAATCAAAACAACGAATTGCGGTATATTACAATACAAAATTGGTCAAACGGTGATCTTTTCATTCTATTTCTATATTATACATTTCAAAATACATCATTGGATGATCAAATAATCATTTGTAAGTATATACGCAAACTGACGCAAAAAAACACATTTTTAGAGGATACGAAACTTTAAGTTGCTTTTAAATTGAACTAAGTATAAGTAGCTTATAAAATATATTCGCAATTTCCAAAAAAATCGCTTTCACTGCAAGGTCAACTTGCACTAAGGCATGATAAAAGCATTAAATTTTTTTATTCTAACTAACTGTAAATAAGGTAACTAACGACGCACAGCGGACAAAACAGCTTCAAAATTGGATACTCGTCTAAAACTACAAGACCATTTCTTTTTTAGGAGAAATGTATACAAGAGACCTGAATCTATGCAAATACCTATGATGTTATCTTTGTTTTAAATTTATAAAAAGTTTTATTTTGTAAACATTCTGACTCGCTGTGCGGCGTAAAAAGTATGATATCTATATATACATATGATATCTATATATACATATGACAATTATAACACTAAAGTAAATTATTTTGCATTATAAAACCATAAGCAAAAGCTTATGCGCGTCCAAATTTATAAAATAAATAGCAAAGCATCCTAAAAGCAATTTTTACAATTTTCCTTAACGCTTTTCCTTTCCATTAATATGACTTTTATGCAATTCTTTACTCAGCTCGTTTCGAACTTTTCCGTTCACTCGAAAGCAATACACATTTAAATGCATGCATAATTGATGAACCTGAAAAAATTTTAAAAATAAATCTGTTATATAGCAATACATATAAGATATAAAGTTAGAACGAGGAAGTTTGCCATTTAGTAATTCCTCTAAAAAATCCCGCTAATAAAATCCGCTATTGCAGAGTTGGTGTGGAAAAAAACACATCAAACACATCTAAACTTTTTACAATATTTGCGTTAATAAGGTAAACTAATAATTTAATATTTCACGACCAGGAGGTAATCCACTGATAAGAGAGGAGGTAATCCACTGATAAGAGTTTTAGCCCACATATCAAGATCAAATGGCTCTTAGATCGAACCAAGAAAAGAAGGTAAAAGAACTTATTGCTTTTGCAATTAATCAAGTCAAAACAGAGGTGACGTATGACAATCTGGAACAAATTGTTAATGATAAAGAAGTTGTAATCAATGATTTGAAATTGATTACAACTTCTTTATCAAAAAAACTTAAAATACTTGAGAAAAAAAATTTGTTTAAATGACACTAACAGTAAGATTTCAAAATACAGCGACTTTGCAGCAGCCTTAGCTAAGCCAGGATCTCAAGCTAACACAGCTCTCGTTAGTGCAAAATCTGCAAATGCTAAAGCGACTGAAAACAAAGCTAAAAAGGCTATATTTATAGGCATGTTCCCTTCAGATACCTCAGACCAGATTGCAGACGAATCCATAACTAAAAAAAAAGTGAAAGAAATAATATCATGAATAAATTTTAACACTAAAATTGTATCGACAGGTAGAACTAAGCCCAAGATCAGTTCAACCACCAATGTAACAAAAGGCTCTAATGCCAGAAACAGCCAAAACTCAATTATTGTGGAATTTGAAAGTGCAGAATCGAGAAATATGGTATTAGGAGTAGCATCTAATCTTTCTAAAACTGAACACAAGAATCTTTTTATCAGACCTGATCGAAAAATTTGCGGAACAACCTGAGTTTAATAAGCTTAACATTGAAAGAAAAACAGCAAACAGTGATCTTGAAAAACATAGTAATCTTGATAACCCATTTCGATTCGTCATCCGCAGTGACAGGGTCCGCTGCATCGATGTATCTAAGACCCTTGAAATCAACGGCCGTTCAGCACACCCATTTGTTGAATAACAAAAAGACCACATTCCAACGCTCAAAACCAATCAATGCACAATAATATCAACTAGCAGTAAGCAACCCGTAATACGCGTTGTTAGTAAATAAAATTTAAAAAACCGCGTATAGAAAAGCCTAGAAACTACTTTAAAATAGAAAAGCCTAGAAAATGACGTAACTCGACTAATAATAATAATATTAAATTAGCGTATTCATATTATCAGATAATACTATAAAACCATCTACATCAGGCCAAAATTGTTCAAACAAGCCATCAAATACTTTTTTAAGCCAAAAAATCAATTCAAACATCTTCACGCAAACTAAATCACAAAAAAATAATCAAATCACGAAAAAAACAAGATAACAGAATTTAAAATGCTATTTAAAATGCTGGTACGCAAGCGCTACGTCGTTAAATAATAAATATAATGAGTTGTTAATTGAGATAAGTTTACCACATATAATTATGGTATGCGAGACATGGTGGACAGATAAATCGGTAACTAATATTCCTGGGTATTGCTTATATAGAAATGATAGAGCCTTCGGAAAAGGCTCTATCATTTCTAAAAAAACTTAAAACTTTCAAAATTTCGAATACTGAACTTCATAGTAACCTAATTGAACAGATTTGGTGTTCTTAAATCATTGGTAGGGAAAGACTTATATGCGGATGTATTTATCGTACTAGAGATAGTGACATATACAAGTGCATAAATGTAATGAGGTCAATTGAACCAGCCGACAAGAAGATATTGAATAAAAAAGCAAGTGGTATTCTCTTATATGGGGATTTTAATTTCCCTCAAATCGATTGGAGCGATTCTGTAGGCGAAGTAACTGGAAAAAACGAAATAGCGCAGTTATTTATAGATGACTTAGATAAATTCTATTTGTTCCAAAACGTAATAAAACCAACATTTCATCTTGAAAATGATAAAAAAAAAATATTTTGGATCTTGTAATAACAGAAAGAAATTCAAGAATTTTCAATTTAGTACACCATCCACCACTTCAACACGGACTTAATGGACATCATATTCTTACTTTTTTCTATAATTTTACTTCATCAAATAAAATTATAAGTCATACGCTAAAAAATATATGTATCATAAAAAGAACTACAGTAATATAAACAGTTACTTTGATAAAATCAACTGGGATAATCTCTTTGAAAACCTTAACGCAGACGAGTGTTACAATAAATGGTTACAACATGATATGGCATGTACTCTATATATACCACAATGCACTCTATATATCCCACAATCGAATATAAATAAAATCAAAAGAGCACCTTGGCTTAATAAAAAATTAACAGCATTGATAAAGTTGGAAATAAAACTGTGGATCAAGTGCAGAAACTCCAAATTTAGAGACCAAAATTTATTAAGGGAATAGAAAAATATCAATAAAGTCACACAAAAAAACTGTATAATCAACAATTAGAGAATATGAGTATGAAATTGTTCATAAAGCCAAAGAAAATCCTAAATTGATATACCAATATATAAACAGTAAAACTAAAATCAATCAGAAAATAAGTGCTCTGGAAATGGAAGATGGAACAATATCGATAATTGAATTAGATATTACTAAAATACTGAATAATTTTTTTCATTCAGTTTTTCAAAAAGAAAACGACAATGTATCAACGTTTAATAAAGCATTACCTAAACCAATTGCAAATCCGGATATAAATATTGACACCGTTATTAAAAAGTTAAGTAAATTGAATGTTAATAAATCTACTGGTGAAGACAAAAGTGCACCCGAGAGTTTTAAAAGAATGTTTTAATAGTATTTCAAATCCATTGTCAATTATATTAAAGTAGACTGTGTAAAGACTCTAGTAAATTTTTGCAACAGTAAAAACTGTTGCAAAAATTTACTAGAGTCTTTACACAGTCTCTGGATATATTTTTTAATTGATATAGCATTTTTGGACTTCTCTAAAGCATTTGATACAGTTCCACACAAAAGATTGTTAATAAAATTAAAAGCATATTGTGAAAATGAAGTTTTAGTAAACTGGTTAAAAGCATATCTGACTAATAGAATTCAGGGAGTTGTCTTTGGTACTTATAAATCAGAATGGAAGCCCACAGGGCTCAGTAATAGGTCCGCTATTATTTGCCACCTATATTGATGACATATCACAAGAAATAAAAAATTGTTGCAAGTTGTATGCCGACGATATAAAAATTATTTCGGTGATTACAAATATCAACAATAACTATGCAATGCAAGAGGATTTATTGAACCTTAGTAAATGGAATAATAAAAAATGGTTATTACACTTTAACAATGAAAAATGCAAAATTATGCATATAGGAAAAAAAAACCTCGCTATAATTATTATATGAGCCAACCAACGAGCAATGAAAATCATTACATTATGATAAAAACATCGCGGGAAAAGCAAACAGAATATTTGGTCAAACAAAACATTGTTTCATATACTTAGAAAGACCTAATGAAACTGCTATATTGTGCGTTAGTTCGACCCCAATTGAAATTTGCTTCACCGATTTGGAATCCTTATTATAAAAAAGACATTAAAATAGCAAGAAAAAGAGCAACAAGGATGTTTAAAAGGTATGAAAGGTATGTGGAGCGATTAAAAGGTATGAAATATGTGGAGCGATTAAAAGGTATGAAATATGTGGAGCGATTAAAAGGTATGAAATATGTGGAGCGATTAAAAGGTATGAAATATGTGGAGATGTTAAAAGGTATGAAATATGTGGAGCGATTAAAAGGTATGAAATATGTGGAGCGATTAAAAGGTATGAAATATGTGGAGATGTTAAAAGGTATGAAATATGTGGAGCGATTAAAAGGTATGAAATATGTGGAGCGATTAAAAGGTATGAAATATGTGGAGCGATTAAAAGGTATGAAATATGTGGAGCGATTAAAAGGTATGAAATATGTGGAGCGATTAAAAGAATTCGGATTGACGTCATTAGAAAAACAAAGAGAACGGCGTGATATAATAGAATATTATAAATTCAAAATGACATTCATAAAGTAAATTGGAAATACCCTCCAATAAACAACTTATATCCAAAATTAAGAGGTCATAATAAACGGTTGCACAAACAAAATGTTCGTATTTCGGAAGCAAGAACGCATTACTTTAATAATAGGATTGTTAATAAATGGAACAGTCTAACCTATGACGTTGTTAACTCTGTTAATTTAAATACTTTTAAAAATAAACTCAAGGAACATGAGAAGGCCAATTCTAAATAAAAATTGGATTGTTATTATTTTGTTTTATCACAAATTTCATTAGTATTTTTTATTTTACTGTTAAAGTCACGAAACTACAGTTGAGTGACTCACATATTTTTTATATGTACAGTTGACATTATTATTATTATTATTATTATTAACATTTGCAGAAAAATTGAGATCGACACTACAACAGTTGTGTCCATTTAAGAGCTAAAATAAACATTTGGATAAAAAGAAATTATACAGTGAAATAACAGCATAATTTAAAGTTGCCTATTCCTTAAAGTGAAAATGACAGAGCACTAAATATATCAGCTACATCCAGAAAAAATAATCTTCCAGGAAGGTTGTCAAAGGATGCAAAGGAGCATAAACTGGTTAAATTTTTACAGGTTGCATAAAAGTAAAAAACCAGCAACAATGCTGTTTTTTTACTTTTATACAACCTGTAAACAAATAAAATGGTACCAAAAAAAAAGACATTAACTACTAACTTAAGTTATTGGTAAAAAAACAAACATATAACATCTGAGCTTTCAACTGCAAGGGATATTTAGACAAATGGGATTTTTCTGTGAGAGGAGATATTAGAGCAAAAGAAACACTATTGAATGTAGTTAATCAATAGTGTAATCACTATTGATAAACTAGCTGCTAAT